TTGTTTTTCCTATCAGAGATCAGAGTGCTTTCAAGTTCATAAAACCTTCCATGGCTGGAATAATGCAACCTTAGTCCTCTTAGCAGAAGGCATTAACAGAATAAAGCTTTAGATAATTGACCAAATAACCAAACTTTAAAAAAATTAATTTTATTTATTATTTTTATTTTATGTGTATGCATGTAGGTAACTGCACTTGTGTTGTGTAATGCCGGCAGAGGTCAGAAGAGGCTGTCAGATCCCCTGGGACTGGAGTTATGGACAGTTGTTAATTGCTATGTGGATGCTCTGATTTGAACCCAGGTCTTCTGCAAGAACAACCAGTGTTCTTAACTGCTGAGCCATTTCTCCAGCCCCCAAATATCCAAACTTAAAATATGAACAATTATAGCTTGGACAGTGAAATGCTGACCCTTTCTTCAAAAGTATATACCACTTCATGAAATATCTTATTTTCCTGGGACCAGTGAATATCATGGAAATAAAATACAAATACATTCTATTAATCCTTTACTGTCATTCTAACTAATCTCCCAAACAAATGCAAATATATAGATTGAGGTAGAGGATTCCTTCTCCACAGTACCTGAGACCAGAAATGTTCTAAATTCCAGAACTGTCTTGGTTTTGAAATATTTGCACATTTATGAAAAGATAGCATGTGGAAGGAACCCATTCCTAAACACAAAATTTATTGGTGCTCTATAAACATTTAATACACATGACATGAAAGCAAATTCAACAATGCTGATAGTGAACACATATTTTAACTGTGCCTCTGATTGTTGGAGTTAGAGTTTCACACTTGGAGTGATATGTTGGCACTTAAACTTCTGAAAGAATTTTTCTTTTAAATATTTTGAAAAGTTTATATACGTACATAATGTACCTTACAATGTTTAGAATTTTGGGTGTTTGGATTAAACCTTCTCAACCTGTACCTGTTTTGTCAGAATGGAAAAGTAGATTTATTCAATATAAATGGAAAGAAAATCATAATCTCCCAAGAGACAATTTCAACATAAGACAATAACTTTATAGTTTATGCATGGCTTTCTCTCTAAGTTCTGTTGTATTTCAACACTCTCAAAACTGTTTCTAATTCTCTTGGCAACTCAACTAGGAACTTCATTGAGTTTCATTTTCATATCACATCTCATGCATACAAAAACCTTTAGAAGGCAACAACCTCCCAGCCCAGTCTTTCTTAGTCCTGTACCCAAATGCACCCACCTTCTTGAATCAAAATACTGATGAACATGATTTGCAAAGATGTGATGAACCTACTTGCCTTTCCCTGTAATCCAAGAAAGGACTTCTTTAAGTGTGAAATTTTTAAGTTCTCTACAAAAATAAAACACATGTTCAAAATTCTAATAATCAAACAACATTTTCACCTTGGCATTTGAAGTTCAAATAAAAGATTCAACATGAGGACATATTTTAGAAAATACAATAAGCATATAGAAAAATAATAAATAACAATATGTCAAAAATAAACTGAGATCAGGCATGATGATGCCCTCCAGAAGTTCTTTAACTGTTAAGAGCTATTTTAGCTGTCCTGGGGTTTTTGTGTTTCCATAAGAAATTTGACATTAGTTTTTCAATTTCAGTGAAGAACTGTGTTGGAATTTTAATGATTATTGCACTGATTTTGTAGATTATCTTTGTTTTTTTCATGGCTTTTTCTCTTCTTTTGTATTTCAACACTCTCAAAACTGTTTCTAATTCTCTTGGCAACTCAGCTAGGTAGTTGAGCCATTTTCATAATATTGATCTTACTAATTCATGAGCATGTGATGTCTTGCCATGTTCTGCTATCATCTCCAATTTCTTTTCAAAAAATTATTATTTTTTAAATTGGTTTATCTGAGCTAACTGTATGGTCTTAAACACCCAAAAGGAAAGTATAACCAAAGATTAAAGGGGTCAACATAATTCTTTAAGATTCCATGTGTATAACTAAATGCTACATAATAAGAAACAATGCCAGATAGGAGATACCTTCGAGTTGTTGGCCAGGGTGGCCCCGCAGACTCCCAGATAATAACCCAGCATAGAACTGGGAAAATGAACAGCAGACTCCAATCTTATCTAAAGGAATATTGATAATTGATTGCTGCTAGATGAGTAACAGCGATCTTCCTGAAACAAGGAACTCTAGATCGGCTGAGTAGACTCAGTGGATAGACAAGCACTGGGGAACGGTGGGGGTACCGACAACACAGTGGATATTAACAGGGATGACAGAGTATATGGGCTCCACTGGGAGGTGGGGAGGCTATGGAAGGGTGCCATTTAAGATGTGATATATAGATGAATAAGATTGTTTGGGATGATCTGTATGAAATGCAAAAAAATCAAGAAATTAAAAAAAATAAGTTATATTTGAGGATGAAGCATAAAAAGTAGCTTCATGTTGATTAGCAGAGGTGAAAAAAATTATCATTGAAATCTACTTGATTACTTTATATCCATGTTCAGATGCAAAGGATCTCAGAAAGTAACAGACTGTGGCTAGTAATTATTCGACATATAGAGCTTAGAGACACATGTGCAAACAGCCAAGTGTTAATTGCATAAAAATGAATTTTTCTGTATGAAACTGTATATTTTAAAATAAAATGGAGATCTTTCTTAAAGGTTAAAATCTCATTTAATTTTATGTCTTATAGGATTTATACTGAGTACAATATTGTATAACTGTATGAATTCAACTGTGAACCTAAAAATATACAGCCAATTTTGAAAGAGATGCATCTTTGCTCTGGAAATTGTTATTGAATATGTCAATCCTGTTGTAATTAAATGCTTCTTCTAATATTGTGCGTACTAAATAAATAATTTTATTTAAATTTTGTTTTTTATTTTATGTGTATGAGTGCATTGCCTGAATGTAGGTAAGTACACC